TTTCCACAATTCGCGATTTTTTTCATCCGTTAAGGTATTCAAAGTTGGCGGTGTTTATTCACCTGGGGATTTAGTTCACATAAACAAATCGCCATAGTAAAGGATTTTCAATAATACAGGAGCATGCACATTATACATAGACATTCTACACTATGAAGTGGAAAGTCTGAAAATGTGTAGATTTCGAGAAATCAATCTCATTGTGCGAATAGCCAGCGGCCTTTTATTGGTCGCTGTGAGAAAGGATTTCAGTAGCCCCCGGGAAACCACCTGCGTTTTTTAGTAGCTTTGGTTTCCATCGGGATCTGCGAATTAGTAGCTCTGATGTGAGCGACCCGATCGAGCACCTCCTCAATATAAGACATACACAATAATCATTGTGGACGAAATCCCACGAACGGAGAGTGAAGACGTAAAAGTGGGAAGGTGATCCAATTGCATATTTTCTTTTAATGCATCACTCGACTCTTTGAAGGTCATACTATGGCATTCAGGTGATTGTGCCTCGATTGAATTTGGGGGCATGGCAGCATATGCTCTAGAAGTCCTAGTAAAATGTGGGGTTAACCTCCCGAATGTGGAAATAACAGGAAAAAGTGACCCATATGTGGTTATTGAATACCAAGGTAAGTTAATTTAAGGGAAATGTTACGTAGAATAGCTTATGTGATATTGACATTGTTGTGAACAATGTTATTGCATTGGGTGATTGAGATAAATAAATGCACTAACAAACATCTGTAGACCATTCCATTCAACTTCATCAGAATTTGTTGGTTGTGCGCTGAGTGTGTGGATTTACAGTCGAAAACAAACGACCATTTGTGCCCATCTTGTTCCGATCATGATTGTTGGGTGAGTTGTTTGCTCTCACCCTATTGGGATTCATGGACTAACAGCGCCTTTCAAACTTTTTGCCGGTGAGTTGGGTCAGTCGATGGATATCAGCATTTAGCTGTACTCAAGGAAGTCAATACGTTTGTATAGTAGGATAATAGTTCCTGTGCTTCTCCAGAAGGACAATTTTCCGTCATTTTCAGCCTCGGATTGGGTCGGCTGTTTAAGCTAAATTAATGGCAACCATAGGAACACCACTGAGGGGCATCAGTACAAGAGAGGAGCAAGCGGTTTATACTAGACAACTCTCAGGATTCAACTGATCCTAAACTAGACTAGACCTGAGTGGGCTTCAGTTTTTGGCTTTTCAAATACCGGTTATATTTGAAATGGCAAAATCAGTTAATTTTTTCCAGCGTTGTGATGTCATGCCGAAGGGATGTAATCGCATCCCCGTGACAGATGTACATCACATGTCAGCGCACTACTACCTCATAGCAACCGTCAAAACGATTTTCAAATCCAGAGACTAAAAGGCCAACGGCGGTAATGTCCACTGAGCTTTCTGGACTCACAATTCCGAAAGTTGGTGGAGGAGGATGAACTATGCTGCGTATTGCAGGTTCAGAAAGGCAGGTGGTTCTCACCCCCACTCGCGATTAAATGCGGGCACAAAATCTTCAGTACTCGTTGGACTGCAGAGATCACATCTTTGTTCCAACCAAAATACAGTGCATGGTGTCAGCTACACCGACCGACACCTACTCCAGCTTTTTAAAAGCGAATAAAATGAGTGTCAGGGCAGTTTAAAGCAGCGAACCACACAACCCAAATTAAATATGACATATGGCTAAAGCATTAAGCAATGTTTTGTCGTGAACTGAAAGTTTCTTGTCGAACAGAACGGCAAGTGATGTTGAAAAACAGTGTACAAAAGGTGCACGTTGAGGAACGTGCAAAACGTACGCATCAAGGTTAAGAAAACTTACAGTAAGTCTGAAAAATGCAGCACTAGACATAAAATGTATAATGGCTATTGTATGTAACTGAGTGTTTTTCACGCTCCAGTAGAGATAAGCAAAATACAGTCCAAAACTTTACTCAAAGTCCCAAAAACAAATTATTACAAGCAAAATCAAGGTGTTCGGACCCGGAAGCAAGTTTGTCGGTTCAAGATGTTTCATGGTATACATAAACAAGGACTTTCATATTTATCAGCTGTGTTACGGATTATGCAGCGCATCCAACACCATGACCGATGAGATGATTGCCAACGACGGACGGGTACAAGCTGAAGCACGGTAGCCATGCAAAAAACCAGCAGAATAAGACAGATCTGACGAATACTAGAAACATATCAATTAGTTACACTTATAAAAGAAAAGATTACGCATAAAGTGGATAGTTTAAGAAGGTTATAAAAAATACATGTCGTTTCCAATCCAAAGCAAGCGTAAAGGAACAGTCTATCGGAGGCTGATTTGTCTTAAATTAATAAACTTAATAAACTTAATGAATAAACTTTAAATAATGGGTCTTTTAGCTGTGGATAGCTGGCATGCATAGGTGCGGCTTCATTTGAAGCACATACAACTGCCGGTTTAATGCCAGGTTGCTAAGGAGCAAAATACCGATAGTGGTTTCAAAGTTCGAAAATTCTGGTTTGTGCCTCAACCACTAAGCCGCTGAACTGAGGGAATAAAATAAGCCCTGCACTTTTGAACTAAAACACCTTGGACAAAATATTTGTGGAAAGGTTATATATTGTCGACGTGAAGTAGGCAGTTAGAGCACAGCAACCCACACGGTCTTTGTAGACCTCAAAGAGACGTCTTACTCCTATTTTACCGCACCATCCGCGCCGTGATTTGGTAAAAGCAAAACAAAACATTATAGGAACGAGACGCTATCCAAATCACGGCAAGTACCCAGTTGTCTGCCACAAGTCGCGTTTTTTAATTCACGTTTGGACACTATTTTCCCGCGCCATTAGGGTAAATCAGAACGCCTTGTGTCGACTGGTGCTATCCAACTGTGAAGTAGACTCATGATAATAATGGACAAGCAAGAGCCACATGTAAACCTAGACCAACAAGCACGGGCGCGCAGCATACAAATTTCGTGCTGCTGATACCCGTTTAGAACGAACTATGATAGATTTCTAGTAACTAGATGACAGGATTAGCGTACGAGTGTCAGTAATGAGCAGTCAAACCCTGCACTCCAAGATGCAGGCTTCAAACTCAACATTTATCTTTTAACTGTTTAGACCAAAATACTACCTTTTGCTGTTAAGACGGTTGCACATCGTACAAACCAGGCGATATTTGTGTAAAATTTAACAATCAAACGACCGTCTGAACGCACCAATACCTGCAATGTTTAAGTGACACGATCTGAAACGCTTATTGTAAAGACAAAAGCGATTGGTCGGTCTGAATATAAATCCCCTCCCAATGGGATGCGGCACCGTCATATTCAGGTTTAGGTAGATGTGACCGAATAGTAAAGTAAAAACCATCCGTTGTTATTTGCCGCGTATCTAAGGATGTTGGCTTAGCATCAATAAAATGTGTTTGATCTACATTCCTGTGTTAGGCCGAGATTATAAGAATGCAGGCCACTTTTACTCCTGGTGCAAAAAATGTCCTCTTATAACAGGCACAAAGCTGCGGCGTAACAGATTCGCAGCTGAATTGTTTTGGCGGGAACGGAGGTCACTTCATGGCCATGAATTTTTTAACTCTTGCCCATAAAACTGACTTTTCTGACCTAGTTTTGACGTTAATTTTACTAATTTGCCTTGGCGTTATTCGTATTTGGCAACGTTTGGTGTTACCACCAATCACAATCTGCGATATAGAGTCGACCTGACCAGAATAAAATCTTAAAGTCTTTGACACCGGATATCGCTGCATTAGGATCTAGCGTTTTCTTAACTTATTTGTAAGTTGCTGATAAATTTTAAATGCATCTTTGTGCATAAATTTATGCTCAACGTGATAAATGAGCCAGTGAACAGTTAATGGTTGAGTAGTTTTCTGACAAGCAAAAGGGTGAGATGGAAGTTTTGTTAATCTAGCTGCGTTTTGCAAAGCCTCAGTCTAAATACACAAACAACAGACCATGACAACTGCATTCAATAAGTTGTGTGCATCTTGCCCCACCATTGACGTCTCAGATTCAAAAAATTTATTCACTATCTGGAAGACATATATGAAATACTTTTCTGACCATAGTTCGTGAGTTCACGACACTAGCTAGCTTCAAGTTCTGTTTTTTTGGGAATGTCGCAAAGTACAACCATAAAGATAACTTACTGTCCGTAGATACGCAAAGACGTGATACTGTGCGGTGATATGCAGAAGAGTATTTTCAACCAAATTTAGGCATGAGCTTGTAGTCAACAGAGCTCATTAGATATTATGTGAAAAAGCATTGAGGAAAATCCAGTCAACCCACGCTGCTATATGAGGCGTTCAATTAAGAAAGCCTGAATGAATGCACTGAGAGATGCATGAAGATAAAGCCTATTTTATTTTATTTTATTATTTTTTTAACATACGTTAACATCTGACTCATGCTTTCGTTCTATCCTTTAATTGAAAGGAGATTGTGGCTTCATATTGTCTGTTAGCCTGCAGATTTTTAGTAATGGTATTGTTGGTAATTTTGGAAAGCTTTTGTAGTCACTGGTAACAGTCAACATACAGCAGTAGTTTTGTTTACCAATTTTTTGCAGATCTATATCTCAGCTTGATTTGATTAGGGAATTCTAGAAGCCATTTGTATCGGCTATTTTCGTGACTTCAGCATATGGGGCTTAGTTTTTGAGGTTTAATTATGCTGCTGCATCCGCCAGAACATCTGTAAATCAAGTAGTTGTTTACTCTAAAGGCTAAAACTTAGCCGCAGTATGTTTGAGCAATGCTTCTCGCGTCTTTGGGCCACAATTGAGCTGCATTGTTTCTCGTTTATTCTATCTCCGATTCAGAGTGAGGATAGTAAAAGGCTTGGAATTTTTCATTGAACAGTAGGTATCTTAACGCGTCATGGTAATTTTTGCACCAAAATGCCCGGGAGGTAGAAGAAGAACTAAGGTGACTTGACAAACAGTTCTGTCATACAAAGCTCACTGAAACATAGGTATCTCTTCACTGCCTGATGAAGTGGCTCCCAATAATATGCAGTAAGTTTCAGAATCGACTGAAACAAAATCAAACCTCGTGTCTCATGCCTCAGATACCTCATATAATTTGTATTCTGTGCACATGTCCTTCATGTAAATGAGAGGGCATAAGTCCTGCACATGACTTGACTTTTTGTGTTTCCAGCCCAGTACTTTATCTAACTTGCCGAGTGAAAACGCAGCAAACCGTTGCGCTTAGGTCAACCGGGCAGACTTAGGAACATCACGGAGTCAAACTTAGCTTTTTGGTATTCTGCTGACGTGAATCTAAATTTAAAGTTGAACCTTAGAGATGCGAACAAACTTTTTACTTATATCTGGCTGTGCTCTAAATGACGAACGGTATGGGTGTAACACATTGGGTGCAGAAGGAAGATAATAATTAGAGGGGTTTTAGCCGAGTTAGTCCAGTGCTTGTGTGATATGAATTCAACACATGGAAGTGCCAATCATTTTGTCGAAAACCGTTCACCTAATCTATGAACCGGATCACTATCTTGATATGGTCAGAAACGAAAATAAAAAGGACGGAGCTGAAGTCGACATAAATAGCCATTGTGGAAGTAAGGAACTCGAGATGTTCACTCATATGTCACTGTT